TTTTGCTTAATATCGGGAGTTTGTTGACCCGAAATAGCTTTACTTGTTGATCGTTATTGTTTTCTGCAGAAGCATTTTACCCGGGTGGGTATCTATGCGCCATAGATAGAATTTAACGAGGTGAATTGGCAAAAGTTTTTAAGATGGATAAAGCACTCTCAACGCGCGATGCTTGAGTTTTGAAAAATAAACGAGTTCGCTACTGGAAATGTGAAGTTGAGGTAGATGGAATTTTTAGTGGTTTCACTGGATTTTAGATTATAATCAAAGGACTCCGATGCATTGTTAGGGATTTATTTTCAATAATATATGATTATTGAGGCCAGGAAGTTCGCGTTTTTTCTTTGTTTAAAGTTGAGGTTAAACATGTGAATGCTCATTTAAACAACTACACAAGTCCGAGCTCTAATGATTGTAAATAATACTATTTGATTTTATAACTACGATAAATATCATTTTTGCTTAACAGAATTAATACTGATGATGATATTTGAAAAGTTTAATAGATTTAAATGTGCATGCCTTAAGCTCTTGTATTATATGTAAATTTTAATCAAAATAGATAGATAGATAGATAATAAATTTTATTTGATCCTGGAGTTCTAAGCTCCTTCAGGACCATCAACAATACATAAAGTTAATTATTTACAAGTATACATTTGATACAGCATTTGCAATACAATTTGAAGACCGACATTAATTAATAACTATCATGTTAAATTATAAGATCAATGGTAATTATATTTATTGCAAGAAGAAATTAAAACAAGCTTGCTTAAAATTTTCAAAGGTGTCAATTTCTGTAATATCTGCCGGTAATGAATTCCAAATTTTTATGCCATGAATTAGGAAAGAATTTTCATAGATAGCAGAATTACTTCTTGGCAAACGCAGATAGTCATTCCTGACGTCACCTCTCCTCAATGCAATTGGCAAAAATTCTGATTTTGATCTAAACAATTGATTATAATTTAATTTAATTTCTTTATAAAGTAGACAAGCTATGAAGTAATTTCTTCTCGCGTTAAGTTTTAATCAGCCCAATTCTTTATAATATGGAGTAGTGTGCTCAAATCTCAAAATTTTTAAAATATACCTAATGCAAGAATTTATTTTACGCTGCAATCTATTCTGTAATTTGCCTGAAATATTCGTGTTAGCAGCACAGCAGTAATCGAAAATGGGAAAAATCAAAGTCGTGACCAATTTTATGCGTAATTGTTCATTGAAAATTTCGTTATTGATTTTCAATTGCGCCAACGTTTTCATAGCACGATTGCATACACTTACGACTTGATTTTCCCATGTTAAAGTGTTATCAATGATGACGCCCAAATATTTAACCGTTTTAACATACGGAATCACATGATCACTCACAACTATATTTTGGGCACTTTTACAATAATCACTGTTAATTTTTTGCCTACTTCCAAGAATAATAGCACTTGTTTTTAAGGCATTTAATTTCAGACAGTTGAAACTACACCAACCGACAATCTTTTGTATTTCATTATTCAGCATAACAACACATTCATTTATTTGCGACAGGTAACATGAAGTTTAAGTATAGTTTAAATATACAAGTTTTCACTAAGAACTTTAATGCTATATTCAATTTTCAAATAATTTTAGATCTGACTTTGATAGAAATAAAATAATTATCTACTGTACACTACAAGAATAAATTGAAAAAATTATTTCCATAAGAAATCAATTTTATTTACAATTCAATTTTAAGGTAGTTCATGCGAGCAAAATTTCAAGAAACCTTCCAAATTTATAATATAAATAATTAAATGCACAATGCACATGCTGTTAAAATTTGGAGACGATTTACCACTTTTAACCAAAGGTAATTGCAATTGAAAATGACATTGTTACACAGGCGGTATGGGAAAAGAGAGAGAAAACTGCGAAGTTTTATTATTTTTGTATTGAAGAAATTTTAAGAATTTCACGAAAAACTAATATTACTTAGATTAATACATTTATAATTAGCCTAAAAAATTCTGGAATTCCCTACCACATAGTTTTTGAGAATTCATTGATAAACTAGTAAAGTAAACAAATAAAGTCATACGTAGAAGTAAGTGAGCAATAGCTCGTAAGAGAGGCGACACTAGCGAATGAAAAAGACAGCAGTAGCATAAACTATAGGTTGAGAAAGAACTACCTTAAAGCTCGTTAAAATTTTTCCGTGAATAGCATTTTTTTCATTCGAGAATTGAACGTCCTCTTTCGTTCCGATATATTGCCGGCGGTCGGCCAGCGAAACAAATGAGTATAATATCACCTGTCCTTAAGCTGTATTTAAAAATAAATTTTTATAAATGGCTTGAAATTTTTATAAAGTGAATTGAAAAATTTATCTTTTCAAAAGTTAGCATTTTTACTCTCCATTGAAACTGGAAAATACACACTATAAGCCATTAAAACCACTATGTTATATAAAAATAGCAATTATTATACCTATGTTATGTCTATTCAGTGGATTTGATGTGACAAAATTAAGATAAAAAGCAAAAGTAAGCTTCAATTATTTTTGTATTTTGTATTTTTTTTTCAAAAACTAGATTGAAAAATAAAAAAAATAAAAAAAAAAGTTATTTTTCGATCATTTCTCGAAACCGTGAAGAAATAGATTTATTGGGTTACCTTCGTTAATATTCCCGGACAAAATATCTCCGAGACTAAGTATCACTGCAACCAAATATCAAATAAACGAAATATCACAAGCGTTATTTATCAGACGATCAATATCGAACAAACTTAATATTTTATAAAATAAAAAATATTAGCAACTACAAACATTATTTCATTATTTATTTAAGCGTAATTTTGTGTGTATTTATCTAAAAAAACGCCAACACATAAGCTTGTTATAGTGCTGCGCTAATAAAGTAGAAAAATATAGAAAAGTTTCAGCCAAATCAAAAGGGGTCAGGGTAAAAAGTGGTTGATTTGGCGTGGAATGCCCCTAATATACTTTCTAATATCCGTACTCAAATATTCAAAAGTGCGTGTCGTCTATTTTCAGTATCCATATAATTATTCATTAATTTGATGAATAAATTGCTAATAGTAAATGATATGTCTCTTATATCAACGCAATATCGATCTAAAAGAATTTTTTTAAATTTGAATGAAGTTACCCGTGTAATTAAAAATTTATATATAATATACAAAAGGATATATAATTATATCTAGTCGTATATGATTAGATCCCATAATTTTTTATTGATGAAATATTTAGATACAGACATAATTACATCTAACGATTAACGATTTGTTTTGATTCAAAAAGTAATATCTGTTCAATGATCATGAATTAGATCTTACGATCAGATATAACGATTATATAAATTTATATGTTATTATATCTACTAATATATGACTGGGTTAAAATATTTCTTCTTAGATATCTAATCATATATGATGAGATATAATTACACACAATGATATATACATATTAGATATTATATATAACTATATAACTTCAAACGTAATTATATATTGTAATATATAAATTCGATCGACTTATTTTTTTTGGGGGATTTTATTGATAAGTCGGTCATTGTTTGAAAATATCAATTATAAAAAAAAATTTAATTTGATAGTGGTGATTAAATTTAGGGCAGATGATAATAATAAAAGTTGAGTAAGAAGTAAAAAAATTGTAACAATTTTTAAAAAATTCAAGTGCTATTGTTCATTTTTATATGAGGAGATTATTATTCTTGATATATATGCTCCCGTTTCTAAATCGAGATTGAGCCACACCCATACTCATATAAAAGGAATTTCGCCTTAGGCGCCTTACTGGCAAGTTGAAGGTCACTATTATGGTTAAGGGTGAAATAATAATAAGAAAATATAAAAAAAGGGATGAAAAAGAGACTAAAAAAAATAAGTTAAGTATTAAAAAATAAAGAAAACAAAGAAACTCCTCAAACACTAAATAAAATGATGAATCCCTCTAAAATAAATACAATCTCGTTATTTTTATCTATAACTTTAATTTTAACTTAGCTTGTTTTATTTATTGTTTGTATTATCATCATTTTTGGTATTTACTAATTTTACTCGCCCTTACAAATTTTTAACTTGAGAAAATATTATAAATATATTTTGGAGATTTTTCTGTCTTTAAAAAACTAAACAATAAATGTAATAAAAAAAAATTTATGATCTTTTTATTGGATAAAAAAAATTTGACGTAACACACTGCATGCTTCGTAATATAAGGCGTGCAATAAAGAAATAAATATAGGATTTATATAATTGATCCGTATGTATAGAGAGGAGTATATGATAATAATAATAATAATAATAATAATAATAATAAATATATAAGAGGAAAAATTGTTCAATAAAAACGGCCATTACTCATTTTTTCCCTGTCAAGACAAATAGAAATATAGATTTCCGCTATGTTTACCGTATGAGAACGGAACATATATGTACCATGTATAACACAGATCAAAAGTCAAATATATTCTGCAAGTGTCAGAATTATTAAATTAGTATAAATGATGGTATGAAACATAACGTTATAAGTCACAAGTAGTCAAATGAAGGCAAAGTGAATTTTTCTTTTTCCTTGTGATTCTGGAATCAATTTGTCTAATGGAAAGGAATGGAAAGAAGAAAATAGACGATCATCTATATGTTGACTGAACAAACAATAAGTGTTTTATTGGCTCTCAAAATATGCCGAGTTCAATGATGTCAATCATGCATGATGTGCGATGAAATCGATAAAAAGAATGTTTTTTATGTTTATTTGGTTTTCATACCGTTAATCATCATATATTTTATTTTTCAAAGGTGTTTTTTTGATACAGCGTGAGCTCTTTTAATTAATAATAATAATAATAATAAACTTTATTGATTAATTTGGATACAATCCATATTACAATTAGCTCGTGTGATACCGTTGAGTGACTAGTTATAACAATTAAAGCAATTTTTTGGCGTAATATAATATAACGTATAATAATCTAAAAACTATAATTATTCTTTGTGTTAAAACAGGATTTCAGATAATTTAAAATTTTTTTCAAATTGGGTTGACGATGAATTCCCAGTACGGCTTCCATGATTTCCTGGGGAGTGTTCTCTCCCCAGAAGAGTGTCCTGACATTTTGGTAAAATGGACAGCGAGTTAGGAAATGGATAATGTCTTCATTTTCCTGGAGATGGCAAAGTTGGCAGTGTTTTTGTGGGGTCAGAGTGAGTGTTTCTCTGTCTATTGAGATGAAGCTGGAGTAGAAGTTGGAGAGTCTGATTTGGATTATAGGTTTGATTAGGCGTTGGGGGTTGTTGAGTACTTGAGATAGATTGTATATTGGGTTGGGGAGGATAAACTGGCAGGAAGAGGAATTAGCGTATCTATCTGCATCTAGCTTCTTGAGATGGTTGGAGTATTTCTTTAAGATGTCTTGTTTTCTTGACTTCCAGATTGTTGGATCTAGCTTATTTAAAAGGTCAGCTTCTTGAACTAGGTTAAGGAGGACGGCAAGTTGTTGGACCCAATTATGTTTGCTGTTGTTGAAAGTATACCTGAGGGCGTTTAGACGAAGAAAGCATTTTTTTGGGAGTCTCGACTCGTCCATCTCTAAAATCCTGATGACCCAAGTGAGAGCCTGCTTGAGGACTAGTATCGAGGTGTGTTGCAAGTTTAGCTCAATCCTAAGCGCATAGTTCGGTGTGCAGACGGGGAGCGAAAGTATTTTCTTATAGAATTCCAGGTGCGCGGATTCGAGACGTTCCAGATTGTTAGGCTTTAAACACCATAGATGGGCGAGGTACAGGAGCATGCTCCTGCACATACAGTTGTAAGTCTGAACCTTACCCAGCCATGATTCGGCTTTAAGTTTTGTCAGGATGCTTGAGACTGTTCCAGAGGCTATTCTGTTTTTATTAATGGCCATGCAGGTGGCAGCGTCGCCTTGGAGTGAGGTGTTAAAAGTGACACCTAGGTATGTATAGCTGGATACCAGGTCAATGGTACTGCCCTTGTAAAAGAAAGTTTCGTTTCTTTTGCCAGCGCGTCCACTGGAGCTAGTTCTAAGGATTTTAGTTTTGGATATATTGACGGTGAGTTCGTTGGAGTCACAGTAAGACTCCAGTGCTTTGAGCTGATTTTTTAGATGGACAGCCGTGCGCGATAGCAGGACCAGGTCGTCTGCGTACTTCAGGGCCAATAAATGATCGGATCCACCAAGATTAAGTCCTTCTATGTTTTTGCTTTGGAGGTGAGGGACCAGGTCCGAGATGTAGAGGATAAACAGCAACGCGCTCAGGATCTCCCCTTGGAGGACCCCCAACGTGATACGGATAGGCTCAGATAGCAAGTTTTCATGTCTGACTTGCATTTCCGCAGAGGCGTAAAGCTTTTTCAAAATGTTGGTGATTTTTGTACTCAATCCCAGATGTATAAGTTTGTTCCAGAGCTTGTCATGTGGGACACTGTCAAAGGCACGTTGAAAGTCAACGAATAATGCGTAGGCTGGTATTCCTTGGAAACGAACAGACATCTGGAGTGTGGCGAGAAGGCAAAACACGTCCGCGCATCCTTTACCGGGACAGAAGCCAGCTTGTTTTTCGGGGATCAGTCGGTTTGTGGAGGCCCATTTCTGGAGCCTGTTGCAGATGACTTGGGTGAAGACCTTTACTATGCAGTTAATGAGCGCGATCCCGCGATAGTTGTTTGGGTTGTCTGGATCTCCTTTTTTGTGTAGCATAGTCATGATTATTTTGGACCAGTTTGTAGGCAGTTCCTCGGTCCTGAGGATTTGGTTGAAAAGTGCGAGCATATATAGGGTCCAGTTGTCTGGTAGTTCTTTAAGAAATTCGTATCCAATGCCATCTGCACCCGCCGCCTTGCCAGATTTGCATTTTTTTAGGCTTTGGAGGAGCTCTTCAATCGAAATCTCCTCGTCTAGAGTTGGGTGTAGCGGTCCGGTGAATGAAGGAAGGGTTGAAAGTTTAGGCGGGTATACTGATTTGAGGAAGGTTAAGAGCTCTTTTAATTCTTTATCAATCTTAAAAATTCAAGTACTGTGTTGAAGCTTATGTTTTTCTCTACTGCCGAAAAATATACAAGAAATTAAATAGAATTTTTTTTTAATTAATAAAAAAAAAAAACTTTTTATTATAAAAAGTGCAGCGCTGTCTGTTAAAAATATATATTACTATGTGCTCCATTTATATTGGTAGTCTGTGTAACGAAAATGACAACATTTGCATTGTTTACATTCCATGCGCAAGTGTAATTTCGAGTATCAAGCAAATTAATCAAATAAAAATTGATACATTTTTTTATAATTGTTGCACAAATTTTTTTACAATTTAATGTAATGGTATATTTTGTTGTCGAGTGGATAAAACTTTTGGCTATGAGTGAGATTGGTACAACGAGCAGAGCGTGTATGGTAACTCACGAGTAGTGAAAATATTATTCATTCAGCTCATATATGAATAAATGTATATGTAGATTAATATTTTGGCTAATATTGTGATCAGAAAGATAATTGCAATATTATTATGTACAAATTAGTGGATGCAAATATTTATTCTTGAAATTAAAAGTCAATAATTATTTTGGCTGCAGGTATAAAATAATAATTTATTCTATATGACAGACGGAACTGACCTAACTAACTTACCTATATCCATAAGAGATTACAAGAAAAAAATTAAAAGACACATCAGTGCCGAATGGAACCGAATGTGGACCTCCGAAAAACGAACTCACCTTCACCGAAATCAGAAATAATATTTGGGAAATCCCCCCTCAATTCACTCTAAGATATGACCAATGTATAAGCTCCAGACTAAGAATAGGACACACGGTCACTCAATGAACAAAGCTAACCCCGCTATTTGTCCAGGATGCAACGATAATATTGCCTCAGTCACCTTATAACCTGCCCCGGGTTAATTCAACAGAGAAATACATCGCAGCTACCCAGTAACATGTGCCACCTTCTCAATGATAAAAAATACTTAAAAAGATTCGCTGATACCATTTAATCTCTGAAACTAAAAACCTAATCTGCATTGTTTGTAACTTGCAATATCGTACTGTTATTTATTTTTCTTTTGTTTTCTCTTGTCACTATTTGTATTATAATTTTGTAATTTTTTCCGTCGCCAAGGACCGTGCATGCACTGCAGTTTGAGCGACGCTAAATAAATAATTAAAAAAAAAAATAATCTATTATCACTTTGAAATTTTTGGTAGCCGAAAAAAAATTTTTTGCCTTTTGAAAAATTGGAACTGCAAAATTTTTAAAAATTAATTACCATTTTTTTATTTTTTCCAAAATTTGATCTGTAAGAAAAAGTTTATATTCCAAACGGAAAATTCAATTTGTGTTTAGAAAAAAATATCGAAAAATAAAAAAGTTAAATTGTGTACTTTAAGTCACAAAAAATGCAACAATACTGAAAAAACAAGTGAAAATTTTTGAGTTTTCATGTTTTAGAAGAGCCAAACGTGGAAGCGACTAAACCGATTAACTTTAAAATCCAATCAGACTCAAGTTTCAATAAACCCTTTTGAATCCCACAAACTGGGTTTGGATCGGTCGATTGGTTCTTAAGATATTTCGAGAAAAAATCGTGTGCACATTCTTCCGGCGCTACAGGTTTATTTCCATGTAGAAGAAAGCATTAAATAATCCCATAAAAATTCAAGTCCTCTCAAGAAATTTCAAGACCATTTATCTATCCAAGAGATGGCAAGGAAATTCTGTTATATTTCTGCAAGCTTGTATCTTTTCGACATTAAAAAAATTCACGATCTAATAAAAAACGCGGAGTTTTTTTACCTCAAAAAATTCTACTCTGTGATGAAAATTACTTTGCATGGTCATTGTTGAATTTTATGGGCACTTAGTGATTTTTAAACTTTTATTGCACATAAAAAGTTTCATCTTTTTCACTTCTGACAATATGAAGAAATATAATTTTTATTGAAAATGATATTTTGCACGAATTTAATGTCAAGAGAAAACAAAAAAGCATAGTAATGCATGATATGTATTTTTATGGCTTTTATTATGATTATTACGATTCTTTTAAGCACAATCTGCATAATAATCCAATGCGTTGTTATATATCTTGTACTATATTTGATACAGCCTTTCCATATGTAAGGACTTATGAATATTTAAGCGTCTAAGTGTTAAAAAAAAACTCATTTCATATACAAAATTATGCATTCCCTGATGCCGCAGTCCGTTGGATTAGTACTACAAAAAGCATATTCTTTTTGCCATATTTAGCATTTCTTTTTCAGTCACGATTTATTTTAAAAAGATTTTGTCCATGGTGAGAGAAAATTGAATTAAGTCACTGCATTACAAAAGTTATATATAGAATTAGTGTTTATCATGAAATTAATTTTTTTAATCAATGTTTTTTATTTGGAAGAATAATTTAAATAAAATAATTGGATTGGAATGCTTGAGAATATATTATAGAACGTATTTTGAAATAATAAATACTATTTGGTTGGCTATATCTAGTTTGGCTATAGTAAATTAGAGCAGAACCTAAATCTTTGTACAATTTGATGCTAAGTAATGAAAACAATTATACTTTTAATCAAAACAGAATGGTTGGATCTTATTATATATTGCAAGACATAATTAAGCATAAATTTGTATAATTATGTCGGATATAAAATCAGATATAACTTTTTGAATCGAAACAAATGTTTAGATAAAATTATAACTGTTTGTATATACATATTTAACCAATAAATAATTATGAAATCTGATTGTATGTGACTAGATGTTATTAAATTTATGGGGCATTCCGAGAAAATTACAAGAATTTTTATTTTTGATTTTCTCAATTTCTTCACACTTTATAGGACCCATCGAAAAATTCTTTCTATCAAGTTTTGAAAATTTTTTGATTACACATTCAAAAAAATCAAATTAAAAAAAAATTACTCTTTTTTCAGTTTTTTGCGCATAACTTCTTTAATGATGGTCCAATCAGACCTTTTTTTCAAAAACGTTCTTTTCCTATGTACTTTTCAGGAAACAAAAAATTAATAGTATATTACAACCTAAGGCCCGAAAGTTGGATTTCCTGGCGTATGGGATATGATGGCCGAGGCGTAGCCGAGGCTATCATATCACATACGTCAGGGCATCCAACATTCTGGTCGTGGGTTGTATACTATTTTTCTTGCTCTCCAGCCGAAAGTACGCAACCCCGTGGAAGGGATTTTGCAAAACCGAGGCGAAGCCGAGGTTTTGCCGGGGGTGAGGGGGGCGCCGCCCGACTTTTGTAAAGCCGAGGTGAAGCCGAGGTTTTACTGGTCGGGGCGGACATAATAAAAAAGTAAAAATTAATAAATAAAAGAAAAAATAAGTTATTTTAAAGTTTACTAACAAACGCTCTGATTAAAAGAGATAACATGCACAGAACTTGTCACAAATATTTAAACTTGATTTCATAACAGAATTAATTTTTTTAAGTTGATTAAAAATTAGTTTTTAATTAGACAACTAAGAAAGATTGAAATTAAATTATGAGAAGCTTGTAGAGTACATGGATTGTTTTATAAACATCGCTTTACTAGCTGTCAAAATATAAAAGAAAGCAAATAAAATCTACAAAACTTTTATATTTTATTTTCTAAAATTTTTATATAAATTATTTGTGCAGTATTATATTATTAAATAGTTCATTAACAATAATCTAGTAAGAAATTATTTTTATTTAATTGACACTTTTTGGTTAGTTTATGTGTTGACATGTTACATACAGACGATGTTGTGACTGTTATATACAGTCGAAACTCGCTGTATAGGCCGGTCGCACCACGAAAGTACGAAAGAAAGCGAGGCTCTGTGCTGCCGGCCAGAAAATATGCGTAGTGCGCATGCGTGGAGAGCCGGCTGAGCCGGCCATAAATGTTGCTCTTCCTGGAGTAAAGTGCGTCCAGGATGAGCGTACTATATAAATTAATAATATCAGTTTTAATTACTTCAATATTGATTTTACCTGTTCGCAACAGAAATAAGGTCCTTGTTGCACGTATTCGACAGAGTAAGCAGAATCTTCAAGGTACAGGTCAAGTTGGACATTTGAAAATTTCACCGTTTTTATTTCAATGAAAGCTGCAGTAACAGCTTCTCTGTACGAATGTTTGCTACTACATGTAAGAGGAGCTGAGTTAATTGGATACTTCTGTTATCATAATAATAAAATAATAATAATCTGTTAAAATAATAATAATTGTAATAATAAAATTTAGATATTATTTATTTTTTTTAATTTTAGTGAGGTATTCATATATATATATACTAGCTGTCACCCGCCCGCTCCGCTGGGCATTTTATAGAATTGTATTTTGAGATCTAGACTTGAAATTCAATCGGAGTATTGTTTTGACTTGCACAGATTCCAAATTCTATTGGATTGGCCTGAACCTTTTATCCATGTCATCATTCTAGCGAATATCCTTTGTAACTTTCAATGTGCAATCACTATAATATTCCCGTGGCTTTCT